GCAGGAAGCAATCTTTGCCATCAGTCAGCCAGCCTAAACAACCCAGCCTGGTTTCCCTTTTGCTGTGAGCTCCCTCTCTCCCTGCAGGGCCCTCGCAGGAAAGTTGGGCACTTATCCTTCAAGGGAGGCACAGGAAGTGGAGCCCATGCCTGAGTCTATCCCAGAAAAGGCTTTGGTGATGTCCTGTGCAATGGCATGAATAGTTCATTATCTCTACTGGAAGTACCTGCTACAGCACAGGATCACATTAGCACTTCACTAACCAATCCTTTCACCCATCTGTCATTTCCCTCTCACATGTTGCCAGTTTGAAGCAGAAACGGCTCAAGTTCTATGTACCCGATCTTATACTTTTTTTTCCATGATACTTCAATTAATTTCTATTAGTCAAGTCTCAGAGTCAGCCAGGTCTTCCTGTACAAATAGTTTCATCATCCTCTGCACTGACCACACCTCTACCATTGACAACACACTCCTCTATTTTGTACGAAGTCATGAAACCAACTATTACAGAAGAACCACACTAGTAACTTCACCACAGTCTGATAAACCTCATTTAAAACATATTACAAAGTCTTCTTTTTCCTTCAGCTAATTCCTAGGGCAGCCAACTACAGACATTTTAATCTACATTTGCATCTTGTCTCTAGCTTATTCAATAATTTCTCACATGTGTCACTCAAACCCAGACAGTCTAGGTCAGCATTTTGTCCTATCTCTTCATATTTCCAGGCCATTTAATTACTTTCATATTCACTATCAGATCACATGTTGAAAGACAAAAAAATGCTAACAAATCCTGCCTCAATCACTGTGTTTAACATTTTCCATGCAGAAAGTCACCACATGTGCAATTTCTTCTCCCAGTTCTAGCAGAAGTCTGGGTGATAAATTATTTTAATACCATGTGAATTATATTTTTTAATTTTTGCTTGTTTCTATACATTTACAAGTCAAAGCACTTCTGCCATCAGATTCCTGCTTTTCTATTCCCATTCAGCATCATTTCTACTTATATATTAAAGTATTTGTTTTCTTTTGAGGAGTATGTGTATGATTTCCCCTTCTCTTTTTAATTTACCCTTACAGAAATCAAGACACAGCTTTTGTTTTGGTTTGTTTTTTTAAAATATTATTAAAAGAGTTAAATAGACTAAGGAAAGGCCACCCTCTTCACAATACTTCCATTCAAAGATGACATTTGAACTGACTTACAGAAAAACTAGCTTCCATTTAGAAAACTACAGCTTATTTATTTGAAAAATTATTAACTGATAAAAAGTAAAAGCATGAATAGCAGTAAAGCTTAAAAAAGGGGGAAGACTTGTTATGCTAGTCAGCAGCCTGGTACAGATTTACAAAACAAAACGCAGCAGTCAAGAAAGAACAAAACTTACACATTGAGCAAGGTCAAAGAGATGCCCTTCTAGAGCAATACAGACAAGTAATTTATCACACAGCTTTCAGTTGCAAGAAATGGGAGAAAAGAAGTAAAAGGGAGTGTAGAAAATTGAGGATCATTGGGGATTTCTGCTAGCTTTCTTAGCAGCCAATGAGGAAAGTGTAAGGAGTAAACCTGGGAAAAAACCTAGAATGCACATTTGGTACAAATAAAGAGCAGTTCTGAAGTGCCTAACTGTGCTTCAGCAGTGTATGAAAGTCAAGCCACTTAAACCAAACTATAGCCGAGGAACATAACCTGAAATAATCTTTCTGCAGACAAGCAAGGTGTACTTTACATCACTGTATCTATAAATGTCATGATGATTAATCCCCAAAATGAGAGTAAAACAATTTAAAAATATGCATTACTGAAGATGGCAACAAAACATAGAGTTACTAACCAGGACAAAAACTAAGAAAACTTGAAAAACACATTTCTACTCACAAAATGTATATGAAAGTGTCAACGTATAATACATCTGAAAATGCTTACCACTTGTCTTAAATGTGAAGAGACTTGTAGACAACAGTCCCCTGCAAAGAACAAAAGAAGGTGTGTTTTGTAGTAGTCTGTGAGGAAAACTAAAACAGTCTTCCATCTATTTTTGTCTGACTGATTGCCACTGAAACCTATATACATATGCCTAAATAAGCATTTCACAATTAAAGTAACACTTCCTGCCACCAAGCTGCACTGCTTTCCATACAAACACCTTTTCAATTGGAATCTAGTCCAGAGAGACTATCTGATTTCAAGGCTTTCAAACAAACAGCTGCACACAAAACTTCATTAAAAAGCTTCCCATTTAAATTAAGCTAATCATAGTAATAAGAATCAATCTACTCTTATTGCTTTCATTCCTTGGACTTCTGAGATACAATGACAAGTTACATCCTCTTCCCTGCAACAAAAAAGTTGCCATTACATTATCGTTTTACCACAGACCATTAGGGATTTATGGTCACACCATACATTCTGGAAGATAAAACCTCACTGCAGAATTTGGGAAATTAATCTTCATGATCAAGAGGTTAAAAATATCTGGTAGAACAATCACACTGTAGCAAAAAAGCATTTCAAGAACCTTACAGAAGAGAACCTGTCCATGGAACACATAGCTCAACCAGCTGAAATTAATCCCTGGGTGAGACACTACCAAGCTTTAAGGTACTAAACGTAAGAACATCAGAAGTACACTTACACTTTTGAGGTGACATTGTTAGCCAGCGAGCCTTCATAGTATGGAATGCCCTTGCTGATTACAACATTAATTTGGCCACCCAGAGTATTTGACACAACGCCTGCATGAACACCAGCCATACAGAGTGATGATGACTTGAATGGCCGGGGGGGAAAGAAAAAATTAATACTACATTGTAAATACATTAAATACTACACTATATATTGTAAATGTTACATTGTCCAGTTACATCTTTATTATTATTACATTAAGAAACTGTTCTTATTTAACTGTTATCTCTATTATTTAGAAACCATTCATCTTTGGTTTAGCATGGAATTTATAAAAACACAAAAAGAAGCTCCTACATTTCACTGTATCCTCGCCCAGATGTATTTGGAATGTAACTCTTGCAATCAAATAAGCTCAAACAAACAGCAAGGTTAATCAGATTGAAAAAGCCAGACGGCCAGACTTTCAGACTTTCATAAATCTTATGTTAGACAACAGAAGTTGGATACATAAATACACAGAAAACCTTTTAATAGAGAGCACACTGAAAGTATGTTGATTCATTTTCTTACAATTAAAGAGTGATTCACTGCAGATTTTGTAACTTTCAGCTGATGGGTTATATTTTAACCCATGGTTACACATGGTTTAACCATCCAACATTCTGAGCTGCATAAACCCACAAAAATACATGAATACAATTTGTTTTAAAGAACCCTACAACCTAGGTTGCACAGGTCAAGGCAGATCAGTTTTTGCAAGACATCCTGTTCTTTCCCTCTCCTCCTGGACAACTGTTAGCCCAGATCCACTAACAAATATCACAGTGACACTTCCATTCCCTGGCGTGCAGCCTAGCTGTGCCACAGAGAGCAGGACTGGCTCACTACACCAAGTCCTTAGGGCACAGCACAGAGTGAGCAGAGCAAGGTGCTGCTGTCTTGTGGATCAAACCTAGCTCAGGAGATGTTCTCCAAACCCTTTCAGGCCAAAGGGGCTTGACCAAGGAACATCCTAGTGATCAGAAAAAGAGAAACCACCCAGTTAAAAAAAAAGGCTTAGAAGCAGTGGCTTTGGACCCATCAATCGCGTGAACAAAGGTTCCTGGAGGATTACTGACTACTCACACTGCAACAGGCACACAGAGCTTTTCACAGGTATTCCTGTAATGTGCAGCACTGGGGTATGCACAGACACACTGCAATTCTGCAGCCCCTTGCTCACATCCAGTGTGACTGGGATCAACCTGATTTTTAGAAGAACAAATGAGTCTTAAGCTGTCTGTGAAGGACCATCTGGGTATCTCCCAATACACCTTAAATAATAAACAATAAACCATATTTAGCTTGTTCTTACACATCCAGTATCCCACTGCAGATTAGCACATGTCAATAAACAACAGATTTGTTTTTACGCTTAACATTTGTTCCCCTACATGAAGTCTCCTGCTAGTTCTTGCTACTGAACACATTTGCTGCACTGCTCTGCCAATCAGTCCACTGGGTGCTATAAAGCCTCACCACTATTAAGAAGGAACCAGCAGGTCCTTTCCAGAGAAAGGAGACTTACTGGGTAATTTTCTTTCTCCCATTATTTTAAAAACACAGCAAACTTCTCCATTGTGGTTTCTTTAGAAATAACTGCATGGTGCAGCAGGCCAAGATGCCCCTATATCTCAAGCTCACTGGCAAAAAGATCCTGCTCACCACGACTTTTCCAAACATAATTCTCCTCAGTATATTCACATATAAAATCTCTAACCTTATTCACCACCCTGAAATATCCAAAAAGCTTTCTAAAGAAATCTAATTACATCTCACTCATGTGCACAGCTCCCCTTTTCCTTTCCTGCTTTCTCTTGAAAGTTAAGAGATAGGATTCTGCAATAGATGTGGCTCTCTTCTCCCTGCTCACCAGAAGATGTCAGCAATAAGCACTCTAAGTCCTCAAGGACTGTGGACACTTAAGAGTCACACACAAAAGAATCAAAATTTAGGGTATTTTTTTAAAGCAACAAGCAGCTGATGATCATTGGAAAGAGCTGCATGAGAAATCTCTCCCTGAAACTCCGTCTAAAGTGCTGGATGATTTGATTTCCACGCGACTTCTGGGAAATTCTCTGCCTTTTTATTCAGAACAATAAAGTTGACAAAAAGAAAGTCACAAGGCATTTTATTTTCTAAAGTTTCATCTTTTCTCCACACACAAAAGTTATTTCAGATTTTAGCAAAAAAAACAAACTAACAAACAAAAACCAACACACCAACCAGAACTCCTCCAAATGCTGCAAATATGTTAGACAAGAGAATCGACTTCATCTTGTTACAAGCTAGAAAAATTACCTTGCAGCCATTTAGTGAGGTTCACTGTGGACCAGAACATGTAATACAGTTACGTCATGGTGACATTTTTACATATGGGCAATTATTTAAGCAGGTAGTCTAGGATTTACAGATATTAGAGTAAAGAAAAACAGAGGCACATGTTAGGTTCATATTGAATATTAAAACCTTTTCTTACTAATGTTTTAAAAAATTGTCTTTTCTATGAGCTACATCTAATAGCTTGTTAAAATGAGTATTTTAAGATCTACCAGGAGACTGAATGTAATTTTTTATTAGATTGCTAACAAAATTGTAATAACTTTAAAACAAACAAAGCAAACATACTCCAGTCCTATGGCAGGTATGCTAACTCACAAAAGTTTACATCAGAAAACCAGTGTACAGGTTTTGGTAGTGTTCTAAATAAACAGTATATAATTAAAGATTTTCATTTCCAATTTATGGAGCTATTAATGTTACAGTATTAGTTTGTTTTGCAAATGGTTTTATAGCTGCTGAGCATAAATAGCATAATAATAATAAAATATAAAGATAACCACTTCAACTCTCTGTTTAGAGATCTATTGCACTGACAAAAACAAGTGGACAGTATTGGAAGAACTGGTTCTCTCTTTATAAAACTGAATTTGTCCACCTGAGAAAGCCAATAAAAATAAAACAGGGAGCATAAAACTATTTTTATGCTTTCAGCAAGCCTTACAAAAATGTTTGAGTTTCTACTATGCTAGTTCACCTCTTGGAGATGGCAACATCTGAAGCACCAGTCATTTAGCAGCTGTGCAAAAAAAAATGAGTACCATGCTGTTCACCTTAGGAGGTGTAAGTTCCAGAACCCAGGCAGCAGAACTGATGTGTACAACTATAATGAACTTTTAATTATACAGTGCCTGTTTTACCAAAATTCATGTAAGCCTATGGTATTTTCACTTACATCTCTGTATCCATGGGGAATAGTGCCTGAAATAGCAGCAAAAGGAATCACACATCCAGCTGGACAGTACTTACTGGAAAACAACAAAATATCAAATCAAGATAGGCATGCAACTGCAGTTCTTATAATGTTATTAAATAGTCACTATGTTTTTTATTTACAATACAATGTTATCATTCACATATCAGTACATAAAGATATATCCTAATCAAAGACATAACAAATTAGACCCCAAAAATACACTCAAGAGAACAGACATTTGAAAAAGTTTAAGATTATTCTCAGCTGAAACTATCGTTCCAGTCTCAATATAATCAATTAGTAAAGCCAACATTTTATAATATAAATACTGCATGGCTTCTATAAATTGAAAGTCACATAAACAGCCATATTAACAAATTTTATTTTATAGAGACCTGCATATCTATCTCTTTTGCATCCTGAAATACTGTATCTGGAAAGTATGGTAATTTAAAATAGCTCCTGGCAATGCCGTGATCATAAAAACCTGGCCAAATTCAATTAATACCACTAGCTCATGAAAAGCAAGAAACAAGACAACCGCACCTCTGTTGTGAGCCTATCTTCATGTTCTAGTGCCATTTTACACTACGCATACAAAAACTATTAAATCTGTTTGAAATTATTAAAGCTATTAATTTAAGATTTACCAATGAGCTGGAGTAAACTTAGTATTTTCACTGCAGTCTAACAACAGTTAGAGCAACTCTGCAGGTAGCACAGAAACAGTGGGGTTCAGAGACTTCAACGCACGTTGACGAGGGCCAGAATCTAAAATTTGAGCCCTATTTTGGAACTCGGGAAAATGGAAGAGAAATGCAAGGGCTGCACTTTGAAACAATTCATTATGCCAGGACTGAACTTTTCCAAAAAGTAAGTTTATGTATTTCACAGAAGTCTACAGCTTTAAACACTGCTCTTGCTTTACATGGAAACAAAGTAGAAAACAGGGAAATTACAGAGATTTCCTCCATCAGAAGGTGCAGCATGTTATATCTCCACAGAACCTCATTAATTCACACCAAACGGTGAAATAGGTTTGTCATTTTTCACACATTTGATAGCTTAGTGCTTCTTTGATAACTGTAACATGAATTTCAGTATTTAAGGTGTATACCTGCTGTAATATGTGTTTATAACAGCAATATTCTTTCTATGGAAATGAGATATTGGTTCCTACATGTTAGTGCAAATTAACGAGGTTCTACTGTATACTGCATGCAAACAGCAAAAATGAGAGAGAGAGAAAAAGAGAGAGAGAGAGAGAGAGAGAGAGAGAGAAAGGAGGAATGAAAATGTCAAAATTATTCAGTTCTAACCCTAACTGGTTTATTTCTTAAGTTCTGTGGACAGCCAATTTTCAAACTGCACCAGGTGTAAGTAACAGTGGAATAGAAACACTAAAATAACCTCACTGCAAAGATGGGGGGAAACAGGTAAAATCAGTCTTACTTGAATTCTGGTTCGGAAAAGTGACTTGCATTGTCTAAACAGGTAATTAGGTCTGGAAAGAAAAAATGTTAGGTCAAGAGGATGGTAAAGACAACAACTTTGTGTATGCTTTTCAAAGTGCACAAAAATATACATCTGAGCCTCTGTGGCTTAACCAAAAATTTCAGAATGAAAAAACAGGCTCCTAGTAAATTTTCTTGCAACAGATTTTGTATTACAGTAGAACCTTGGTAATTTGTCTGAGTATCTAGGAAATCCACTGAGAATGTGATGTAGACATGAAGAGAAATAATACAAACATTGTTTCTTTATACTTCAGAGAACCTGGTGTAATTCAAAGACACAAATATATGCTCTTTTCACAAAACTAAATTAATACACTAGCTAAACAGGCCTGTGTTTTCAGCATTTAACAGTCCTACAGTACTGAAGCCAGGCAGGAGGGGGAACAAACATTTGAGTGCCATGTTACTGGCCTCCATGACTGATATATCAAATTCTAAGTTCACTTCGCTGTGTATCAGCACATACAGTCCAAACCAGAGAGAGAATAGCACTAGAGAAACATGGAAAAAGCAAGAAATGGCAAAAAACCTAAAAAGTAGTCAGCAGATTACATGAGTCAAGAGCTGAGAGAGTAAACGATACTGTTATTAAATCTTTCCAAGAGGTTGGTCTGTATAAAGTATATACAGTTTGGTATGCATGGGGTTTTTTTTAGTTATCTGCCGCCTTGATTACCACCTGAAAAAACATATTTAATTCATACCAGCTAACTGTGATTCTGGCCCTGCTGTCCAGGGTAAGCTTTGCTAAAATTTCTTTAAGACTACAGTAACTTAAATAGCAACTGAACAGTCCAGTTTCCTACAGAGAACTATTGGGAAGATTGTATTGAAAGCCTTCATTTTTTATTTGTGAGAACGCATGAATAAATAAATTTAGCTTTGTGGTTTTACTAGGCAGCTCTAATTTTACTATCAAAGAAAAATTACAAGGCAATTATAAATACCTGATTTGTCAGTGGTTGAATAAGCTGCAAGAAATCCACGTCCAGAAATGTGTGTTCCACTCATGAACTGTACTGTGACTTCATTACTTTTTGAAGTAATTAAACCATCCATTTGAAAGTCAAACCCACAGTATTTTCCTATGGAAAGAAGGGGGAGAACTAACATGGACTAATCCAAATTTATGTATTAAGCACCTTTTTTCATTTGTAGTGCAAGCTCACATTACTTCTGGCATATATTAAAAAACTAGTACATGTGCATGACACTAAATAATGTAGTCAGTGTCCATGTAAAGCAAATGCATCCACTTGGATCTGTTCAAAGCCTTCAACACTGTCCTGCACAATATTCTGTTCTCAAAACTGGACAATACGGATTTGACGGACGGACCACTTGTTGGATAAGGAACTGGCTGACTGGTCACACCGAAAGAGTTGTGATCAATGGCTCGGTGTCCAAATGGAGACGTGTGACAAGTGGTTCCAACCTCCTCCAGGGTTGGTACTTGGACCAGCGTTATTTAACATCTTTGTTGGCGACATGGACAGTGGAATCAAGTGCACCCTTTAGCAAGTTTGCTGATGACACCAAGCTGTGTGGTGAAGTCAACATGCTGGAGGGAAGGGAGGCCATCCAGAGGGACCTTGACAGGTTCAAGAAGTGGGCTCGTGCAAACTGCATGAAGTTCAACAAGGCCAAGTGCAAGTTCTGCACCTGGGTCGAGGCAATCCTGCATGAACACAGGTTGGGAGGAGTAAGGATTTAGGACAGCCCAAAGGAGAAGGACTTGGGGGAAGTGGTGGACCAGAAGTTTAACATGAACTGTCAATGTGCACTTGCAGTCCAAAAAGCCAACTGTGTCCTAGGCTGCATCAAAAGCATAGCCAGCCGGTCAAGAGGTGATTCTCCCCCTCTACTCTGCTCTAGTAAGACCCCACCTGGAGTACTGTGTCCAATTCTGGAGTCCCCAACATAGAATTCCTTGAAAGTGTCCAGAGCAGAGCCACGAAGATGATCAGAGGGCTGGAGCACCTCTGCTATGAAGACAGGCTGAGGAAGCTGGGGTTGTTCAGCATAGAGAAGAGGAGGCTCCGTGGTGACTTTATAGCAACTTCCCAGTATCTGAAGGGAGCCTACAAGAAAGCTGGGGTAGGGCTTTTTACACAGGTGTATAGTGAGAGGATAAGGGGCTGTGGTTTGAAGCTTAAAGAGGGGAGATTCAGATTGGATGTTATGAAAAAGTTATTTCCTGTGAGAGTTGTGAGAAGCTGGATCAGGTTGCCCAGGGAGGTTGTGGAAGACCCCTCCCTGGAAGTCTTCAAGACCAGGTTGATAGGGCCTTGAGGAACCTGACCTAGCAGGAAGTGTCCCTGCCCATACAGGGGGGTTGAAAGTAGATGATCTTTAAGGTCCCTTCCAATCCAAACCATTCTGTGATTCTATGAAATGGCAGGGTATGTGTGCACATTTATTTTGCCACTGTCAACAACTGAGAGTCTCTCATACCCTTACCACTTGCAAATCTATGTCCCTTATCCAATTCACCTCTGGCCATGCATAACTCTCACAGTCAGTTCTTCAAAGACCATGAAAAATCTATTTAGGAAAAGGATCAAGTTAGGGCAACAATCACCTATAGCAAAAGAGAAAAAGGCTTTTCTCTCCCCTCAGCTGTTGGGACACTTGTTCCTTAACTGTTTCATAATTTCTGTCAACTACTTCTCTTAATTTTGGACAACAGCAGGTATGATTCACTGCACTTCAGCATTAAGAGAACTGTAAAATCATTTAGGTTGGAAAAGACCTTCAAGATCATAGAGTCCAACCACTAACCCTACTCTACCAAGTCCAGCACTAACCATATCCCCAAGAGCCACATATACAAGCACACACTTAAAAGCACGTTGGCTCACTTTCTATTTTGCTGCACCTATAAAACCTAATGGTGGTTCTTCATCTGGATACTTCTCTTGTCATCCAAAATGAGAAAAAAATAATACATTTTAAACTGAGATGCTGAAGTCTGTAGGTGTTGACAATACTTGCCCTGTGAAGTCCTAGAATTACTACCAAATTATATTACCTGCATGAATGGCTGTTAAATAGACCCAATTCACTATGGAATTACCCAACTCTACTAAAAAATACCTATCACTTTATTAACCTGTTAAGAAAAAACAAGTATCTTCTGTTCTATAGGCTCCCTTGAACACTGAATGTTGTCACTCATCTATAACACTATTTAAGATTCTGCAGTGGATAACTAAAGTAGACAGTCACCAGTATCAAATGATATTGTATATGTTTCAGTTTACCATTCATTTATTTGATTTCTTGATAGTGAGAATGTTATACCACAAAATAACAAAAAAAAGAAGCCATACTCCCTTCTCAGCTAAAGGAAAATGACAAAAGTAAAGTAGAGGGAGTGGAATGACACTGCTCTGCAGGAGTAGTTCTTAACAAATATAATACAAATTCAATATAACACAAACAAATTCAATATAACACAAACAAATATGTTGAATTCCTTTAAAAAAGGGAACAGCACCCTCAAATATTAATAAAACAAAAAATAAAAATTACAAATTCCTATTGTAATTCACAGCTTTCTAAGTGTTACTTAGATATTTCTTGAAGAAACCAAGTGTATTTTCTAACTAAAAAAACAGAAAGCAGATTTTACATTACTTTGAATCAATTTAAAATACTACAAAAATATAAACTTACCTCAATTAACTAGCTAGAATTGGTTATGAGCTAGAGTTAAAGAAAAAATCTCCCTTTTACTAAGGCTCTACATTGACCCTGTGTTTTGCTTTAAGTCAAGTTTTGGTGATTAACTGCATTCATTATTTTGAACTGCATCATTTTTCCAACTACCTCTTTACTTCCCCTTTTTTCTTTTTTTTTTATAAGTTTTGTTTTCAGCTACTGGATCTTGTTACGTGATTGACCAGCGTGAGACTCCTCTGAGGGTAAATCAGACTCTCGTCAAGATACCATTTATCCTGTTCTGTAGGCAAATGCACAGGGCAAGACCTTTAAATCTAGCTTGGATAAACCATAAATAATTTTTCTAATTCTTCCCTCCGTCTCGCTAGATTTTTAGCAACCTCTTTCAGAAACTGGCACTAGAAACGGACAAAATATGACCGCAGTGAACCCTCTGGCAATAGTACGTGCAGAAGATGTAATATTATTATTTTGTCTCTACTTATGCATTGAAGAACCCCAAGTGCTTTTTCTACAGCAATGTTATAGCAGGAGAAGGACTTCCCAGGGTAGCTTACCTTCTCTGCTGCTACACATCTGCGCTTGCATTGTCTGTATTAAGTAAGTACATCTGACCCACACTAACTGACGACTTAAAGGATTTAAATCTTCTTTGGATGTATTGATAAATATTCAAAAGGCTTGGAATGAGAAAAAAGCTTCATCAGAAACTTTCTCTGTTTATCAGTGAGCTAACCTACTAACAATTCATTTTTTAATCTAATCAACCAGTTTTTAAGTAATTCTGGGTTAAAGTAGGTATCACTGAATTTCAGATTTTATGTAACACAAGTATTTTAATGTTAGACCATGTCAGTAGCCTTGAACGGAAAAGCTTAAGATAAATCCAGATTTCTTCCAAACAATTTCAGGTCACTGTTTAATCTCTCTAGAGTTTGTTGCTTCAAACGTGAACATTCAAGAATGTGCATCATCTATATCTGCTGCTGTTAATGTAACTGTTTTTTCCATGATTTAATTTATTAAGAGCAGAACAACACACACATTTGCTTAACATACTGTGCTACTAGACCAGCTGGGGACAGCTGAAAGTCAAGAGAAACAAATGAAGTAGAAAATTTACTTGAACCCATTAAGTCACTTGTAAAAATGAATAATAGACTTATCAGAGTTGGACGTTCCTTGCCATTTAAGGACTTAAATGTTTCCTATTTTAGATCAAGTCTGGCTCAACAGCTCCAAGCACATGCTTATTTTCACACACACTTACCTAGGTAACAGTTGGAAAAGAGGGTTAACAAAGCTAACACTAGCCTCTTTATAAAAAGAATCAATTTAGTGGGATCAGCATTTGAGTTGCACAAAAACAGTCTTAGTGAGGTAAATCTCTCCCTCTGTCTCTCTCTCTCCCTTCAGATTAATGGCTTGAGAAAGAAAATTAAATTAATCTGCACAATAACAACTTTTAGTGAAGGAAGAATGACAATTCATTTTGAGTTTTATGCAAAGTAATGAGGGTCTTAAAATCCTATGTATACCTTGACATAGATGATGTCACACTGATATTTGAAAAAATCCTGCCTTGTAGCAATGGAATTCCATTTGTCCTCTTAAAGAAGACAAAAATTATACTATGGACATTATCAGAAAAGAGGCAATATTTGAACTACACAACTACTGAAGCATGGCATCCTTTAATACCACTGAGATAAACAGCTCAAATCAGAGCTACTCCATATGAAAAGAAAGGCATTTCGGGTAAGATATATTGACCTTTTTTTTTTTTTTTTTTTTAATTAAGGTCCTCACAGTTTTGCAATTTCCTGTCCACTGCTTACAAGAACTTTGCAAGCTACTGGAAAAGGTCTGAGGAAAATTACAGTGGGGTTCCCTTTCAGAATGTAAATAAGCAAAGATTATTATAGGATCTGTGTTGCATTTAGCGTCTATCCATTGTATGCACAAAAAAAATGTAGGTGTTCCATCACTTTTTCAGTTAATTTTTAGGATCTAGGAATTGTGTGAAGACAGACATTTTTACATGCACTTTAATAACAGTAACAAAACGCAATTACTTAAGAATAATTACATTATGAATACTCTGGCATACCAAACTCATCTGCTGAACAACAATGTTAAGTATACTTGAAATGAGCATGTCACCAGAGAAAGTGACAATCTCACTACCATTTTCTTTACTGATTTTACTTCTATATAGTTCCACCTGCACCCATACTCCATTCCTGTACTGAAGGCCTGTACAGTACACAGGACAAATGTTCCTTAGCCGTGCTTTCTAACAGTACTATCAGTAGTAAATTTACTAAAACCAAGAGGAGTTTTTCTACTGTGGTGAAGTATACACAGCATCAGGAAAAACACACCTCTGATTACAAAATTACCAAAATTCCTTTATTTAATATTCCTGTAAATAATAAACACTTCCTTCTTTACATCACTTCTCGTAAGACTTAAAATCCACACCACAGAAAGCAGCATATGATGTATTCAGGCAAGGCCTTACTATGCCCAGTATCAAACTGAACGATAACAGTTTTCTAGGGGTACGAAAAACCCTCTAATACCATACATCTAGTAGTTAGTCTATGTTCAGAGCAGGTAAACAAGGAGAAATTTTAAAAGTAACAAGAGTATTAACAGTATCTTCCAGGCTCTGTATAAGAATGGCTTTCAAATATGAATAATAAAATATCCTACCTATCTCTGTCCTGGTGGGGCCAATCCCATTGTGAACTCTTAAGTAACTGGAATGACAGGAATCTGAGTCATCAATATCAAAATCACCAAATTTGAGCTGAACTCGCTGCCCAGGCTTTACACGAATTTCCCATTCACAGACTGTGCTATTTGGAGAGGTCTGTGGGTAGTTTATCGAAGCAAGAGTTCCACTTTCAGGGCCCAGAACTGTGTGTCCACATCCATCACCTACAAAAGAACAAAAACAAATCAGATACATGTGCCCAACTCCAAAGCTTCACTGGTGTTTTAGTTATCCTGTTTTTTAGCAGTGGTATGAGTTCTGTTGTTTTTTTAACTATACTAATACTGTTGCAAGAAAACTCCAAGGTAAGCTGCATGCAGATGAAGCAGCAATTGTGAGAAAATACCATGCAGCTAATGTTGTCTAATGTTTAATTTCTCATTATAGGTGACCAGAGAGCTGCTACATCTTCAGTGAGATAAAAATTCATCCATAATGACTTTAAAAAGTGCACAGACAGTACAGAAAGAGTCCCTTCTATTTCATGGTCCCTCAACAACTCTGTAGGGAAGAAAACAGGTTCTGAAAAGAAGGGAAAAAGACACTAATAAAACAAAGAGTACATCAGTGCTACTGCTGTCACGCATTCAAAACACAGTAAGAACAGAAGTGGAAAAACAACGAGCAGCAAATACTCTAATAAAAATAACCACCAGGTCTGACCATCATCAAACTGCTGGTGCATTACTTTTTACTGTATCACAATTTTAAAGTTGTAATTAATTCTTCTAGCTCTTTAGAGAACATGCTCATTTTTTTCTGCATTTCTACAACAAATTAAATTACAACTCCAACCTGGGACTCTCAACCTAACATTCACATATTCATTTTAGACAGCAGTAATAATATTAAAGAAGACTTGTTAAGAAATGGAAAAAATATGAGGAGCAAAGTAAAAACTATTTACTCAATAGCTGGACATGGATTTCTGACAAGTATGTAGTACAAGAAGCATTAAGAATTTGTGAGTTGTTTTCAAAATAAGAATACTCTTTAAGTAACATACACCATCACTGGCTCTTTATAAATGATGAAACAAAGTATTTCTGAGCCCACATACACATCCAGCAAAATTAACACCTGAAATAACATAATCTCTATAAAACAGGCCTTGCAATATCTCAGATTTATTTTTTTGCACTGGAGGACTCAAAGTCTATTTATTGAATTTAGTTCCATTAAATGAGTAGGCCAGAAACAGTATTATCATTTTCATAATTTGCCACTAAGAGGTCCAGAGATCTTCTGAAAGAGACCTGTACACATTATCCTAAAAGCAATCAGGACCTTTCAGGATCTTGAACAAAGTAATGAAAGCAAAAATAGCAAAGACAAAAATCAGACTACATATGCTGCCAAAAAAAATGTCTTCAACACCACTCTTAAAACATCTATTATCTGTAGATCCATCTTAACCTTCAAAATTCACACCTGTGCATACAGCTCCTATCAAGTTATTATGACAAATTTAACATTATGTCAAGATTTCACTCTGGAAATTCACAATTATCAACGTCATTTGTATTGGCACATGTTTGTTTTGACAGTTAAAAGTGACAGTCTGAAAATGTTTCATACTACACACTAATAGGTGTAGATCCTCTACTAAACATGAAAAGGTACATTTTTTGTCCCTAAAGCTTAGCTTACTTTTTCATAAATTTCAAAATTCTAAAGTGTATTCTATGCAAGACTGAATGCTAAGTTTGATGCGCTGAAGTGACATGAGAAAAATAAACTGTGGTACTTAACTAAGTCTGATTAATCTGTAAAAGCACCTAATTTCTAGTAACAAAACCTATTCTCTTTTATAATCAGAGCACACCGAAAAACAGCTGCATGCTCTAAAAGCTGAAGCACTGCTGGTATACACAGAATGACAAACAGATGCAAACTGCAGCATTTTTATTGGTAACAGTCTCAAATCAAAATTGAGCATATTTTTCTGGAAAAGGTAACTGGAATATCTGCTTCAGTAAAATCAAAAGTTTTATTTGCAAAGCTTTTGTTTAGCCATGTTTTTCTTCAACCAATTTTAGCAATTTGCTTTAAACCACTTTGTTCCATCCCATGATAAATGTTACTTACATTTGGGTGACTGCTGATAAATTACTTTCCTAAATTACTCTTGTTCCAATACATGAAACACAATTGTCCAATGTTACAGAGAATTAACTCAAACCATATGTTTTGTGTATAATTTTAATTCTGGTTTCTTTCCAAAGGAATGTTATAAACCTAAGAGCAAGTGAAAGATTTATCATTCAAAACCTGTATGGCCTTGGTTTATTAGTTAGTAAACATTTACATTTCAGATTCCTTATTAGTCCAAATACACTTAACAGTAAAGAAAAAATACAGATTCCTTTGCTAGTAAGCTGGCTTTTTGCAAGTAAAGTACTCAAACACATTACAAAATACATGGAATTTATTGTATTAACAATAAAAACAACAAATATATACTAGGTCTCCATTCATGGTGGTATTTGTGGCCAGTATTTCAAAACCCTTCACACTGCAGACATATAAAATTAATTTTCAGCATAACCAGCAGTCAGTTTTAGGTTATGTGCTAAAAAAGAACAATGAGCCAATTAACCAGTTCTATGCTTTTCTTATCCTGTGACAGAGCTAGCTGTTTACTTATGTACAGATGGAAAATATTAGGTAGATACATTAACACAATGGCCTTTTGAACATGAAATCATAGTAGCTTTCACCTGTACAATCAGATACACTGTTCTGGGTGCATTCTAAGGAAAAGAAAAACATTTGCACGTTCTAGAATACATGGTAGCTAATTCTTATTTTGAAGGGCCTGTTATTGCAATGCAGTGACCACACAAATGCTATTTCTGACAACCAGCAATACCAACAATGTACTTGATTACACATCTTTGATTCATCCCCACGTTTTTGCATCTTAAGCATACGCTGCTGGAAGTCAAAGACAAAGCAGCGCATGGGCCTCTTATTTGACCCAAACTGTACTTAAAGTGTAAATTTCTCCAGTTGAAAGTAGAAAAAACAATGCTTAACATTCACTTAAACAACCCTCTTCAATTATTTGCTGCCCAGCTGTCTCATGCATGAAACAATACTGGCACTGTGTTCGTATGATGACCAGCACACACCTTTCTGATGAGAAAAGCAAAAGAACTCCAACAACACTTTTATACCTCTACGTAAATACACGTGAATAAAATATCAGAAGTTTTAAAAAGACACTGAGACTTTTCTTCTGAAGACACACTCCTAAGAAATGTGGAATTTCTCCTTGGAGCTTGGAACACTGAGTCTTGTTTCCAGTGGCTAGATAGAAAAACTTTCTAATCTTTCTAATCACACAATTCAATGGATATGTGAATCTCGAATCTCTCTTGGTTGTAGGCTTTCTTGAAAACATCTGAGGAAAAATATTCCTCTAAGCTATACACATTAAAGAACCTGCTATCAAATCATACTGGAAAGGAATGGAAAGGAGGAAACTTGTGCTGAACTGCATCTACAGCATCATCTTACTATGATGCCAGTTTTTAAAAGTAGCTCATTCTGACTGGACGTTTCAGATCACAGAGCCACTCTATGTAAGTGATTCTTTAGCACTTCTGCCAAATTTGCATAAAGACCACCAATCAACCCCAGAGACACATGTATCTGTATGAAGCGAGAAATCTGCAATACTTGGCAATTTCTCCAAGAAAAAGAGAAAGTGCAATGCTTTGAGCTACAGCACTACATATGTAGGAGCATTAGCTACTCCACTCACTTGGAAGTCATTAAGCTTCACCAAATCTTCCGCTTCTGTTAATCTGCATGCATGAGAGCAGAATATCTGAGAACACATCGAAGAGACAGACATCAATTCCTCAATCAATTATTCCTGAACAGGCCGACAACTTCTGTTGTCAGTACACAGCTGAATGGGTTTCTTGCTTTCTTTCAGCCCCCTCCATCACATAACAGACTTACTGCACTCGCAGAAGAGATCAAGCTCTTCACAGAAGCACCACAACACTTGCACATGCCCATTACACATGACATTTCCTGGAAGGTCTGCAGATGTGCATTGAATTCCACGTGTCTCGAGGACCATGTTCTCAGCAAACGCAAATAAGCTCAGCTCTTTACTAAAATGTATGTTAGAGATGTAGGAGCCTCTTAAGAAGTCAGCAGAGGAAAGCAGACTGTTGTTGTCAGGAGAGCCATTCATCTCTTCTGCAGGCACCTTTGAATGCAGTCTGGATGAATTATCCTGACAGATTACATATGACCCCCAGGCTATGGCACATTAATGTCTGATGTAATCATGCAGATGATTTGAAACGATCCAAGCTCTTTACACCAACAAAATACAGAACCTGAACCAACACAAACATACCAAAATGCACTGGATAAGAAGAAAATGTGAAATGTAATAAACTGAGAGGATACTGTACATGCAGGAATGGGTGCTAAGTACTCCACTAATAACCACAACAAGATTAATTATTCTTTATAGTTGTTGGAAGTCAATTAATTAGAACTTTTTCCCCAAGATTGGCTGCTGTTAGCCACTGCTACTCTTGTTCTCACTACCCAAACATGTTAAATAGGACTAGAGAATGCCTTCCCATTCCTTACTTGGAGAAGAGAGAATGATAAAATTAAGACATCAAACAGTTTAAGATTACAGTCTGATAACTGATGCATATCAATTATTCTTTATAGTTGTTGGAAGTCAATTAATTAGAACTTTTTCCCCAAGATTGGCTGCTGTTAGCCACTGCTACTCTTGTTCTCACTACCAAAACATGTTAAATAGGACTAGAGAATGCCTTCCCATTCCTTACTTGGAGAAGAGAGAATGATAAAATTAAGACATCAAACAGTTTAAGATTACAGTCTGATAACTGATGCATATCAAAACACTGATCTCAATATTAACACATAGCACTGCCTTTTGAACAGACTCAATTTAACCAGTGTGTTTCCTGAGAAGATTTATACATATAAACTACATTTTTCTATGAGTTTGTGACTACATACAGGATGTAATTAACCCTTTCTTAACTAAGAAAAGGTAGAACCAAAGCTTTATGAGTTACTTAAGCAAAAATATATTCTAAAGATTCATTTTACCTCCACATATACAACTCTCTCTAATTCAATGCACTACTGCAATTTCTCCTCTATTGTTTAGCTCCCGTGCTCTGCACTTCCCCGCTCTTTATCACTGTGACACCAACAGACACTGCTTTTGCATTTCTCGGTGTAGACAATAAAGTTTACACAACTAACAAAACAGCTGCATGAATAAAAAACACAGAAGAATTAATACCACAGAGATATCAAATTTTAAATAGCTTTTTCAGGTATTTTCCAATGCCCTTATTTATGTCCTCCAAACTAATTTCTATTTTTATCAAAATCCACACAACTATATTCTTCAGGAAGAAATTTGTTCCTGTGAGGATTTATTTTCTTAACAAGAAAATCTGCACAGAGTCCACCTTCATCTTTATGCCATTTATTTGCCTCCTGAAGACACTAGTTTGAGCACTTCATCCCATTATAGATGTTTCACAACATAAATTACCCGACACTTCCCCAGGTGAGGCTATAGCTCAATAAACACTTGAAGGCACTTTAAATCACTGCAGCCACCGACAAAAGCAAGCCTTATCCACCTCTCACTTTTGGCCACTTGTTCTCACACCCATCCTAGCACTCAAGGTAAACACTTCTTCAGCCAGATGGTAAACCAGACCAGGGACTTGAGATAAAAACAGCTGTTAGTTTCAACCTAGAGCAACCCCCTAGTTTATTTCAGTATGCACATGTAGCAATGCGTTCCCCGACAGAGGCATAAGACAGTGTGAGGGTAGGGAAACACCAGCAGCCACTTCTTTCACCAGTACTGCTGGCCTGCATTTGCATTTTAAACAACCTTGAATCCCAAACAGTAATGTGGAAACCATGCCTCCCCTGGGAAGAGCAGTCACACAAGAGTAGTGCATTGGTTTCAGGAACTGAGCTGAAGAAGAACCAGTGCCCCTATCCATTCCACAGCATCGTGTTACATTTCAGCCAACTCACATCTTAGAGACATTGTGATAAGGCAAGGAAAGGCAGGCAGGTGAGATTTGGGTTGTCTCAGCTTCGACTGATTTACTTGCTGTGGGGCAGCCTTAGAAGGGTAATGAAATTATGGCTTTAGAGGTTTAACAAAGGTAGGAACAGGACAGAAGCTAAACCACAATACACATTCTTCCTTTCAAAATGTTGGCAGATCGGGGAGGTAAAGGGAGACAGAGGCTGATAAAAGTACATTTAAGACGTCATTGCAAGAAAAGTTTACTGTTTTCATTTGCAATGCTAGCCACATGCTGGGCTAGTGATAATTAGCACTTTATTATTTCCATCTGTAAACATAGCTTTTCAATCACTATCTCTGGAAATGTAATTTTATCTTTCAGCCACTGAATTTTACACAAAAGAGTAATACTTAGCCTTGCTAAATTTAGCATCCAAAATATGGTAACTTTTAAAAACAAATTATCTCAAATTACTACAACATCAGAGCAGGTAAGACATTTGCTTCCTCTACTATCACATACTAACCAAACAGACCATTTCAAAAGAACAGAAAAGAGAGATCAGCTGTGGAGGACCGTTGCAGAGTTTTTGCTCACTTCTGTCTGATAAATTCTGTAAGTCTCCAGGGACAGCTATGACTTGCTCAAATATTATGCAGGCAAAAGCAGCCTACAGGCTGCTACAGAAGGCTAGCCATGGTGAAAATTACTTACATGGGAATGTTGTAGGAGGGTTCTGCATTCAATGATACATAATGCAGAAGCCCTCCTAATATGCTGCCCATGCTGAATCACAGTGACAGCCTGGCACGTGCAGCTTGCCCACTTCCCAAGACATACCATTTCCTTAGCAATCTGCATCAAGACTTACATAAAAATAACACTGTTGTGCCTCAGTGCTCTAAGTGCTATGCAGCAGAAACATAGCCGATGAAGGAAATGAAAAATAACACACAGATGGTCATGCAAAACTCTATGAGAATAAGTAGTACTCATGGTCAGAACAGGCTTTGAATCTCTTGTAAGGTCTTCAAACTCCTCACCACACCAGGACCAAATGAAATTTCACAAGTCTTACATATGTCAACAAAGGAGAAAAATATTCTCAAATCATACCAGTAATTCACATGCTAAATTAACAATGCAGTCCTATTTTTCTCTCTTGATTATCAGTTCATAAATGAGACCACACAGCCTACACTGCAGATACATGGTGCCATACCTTGACCTAAATCCCAGCTGCAGCAGGACTATCTCACCTTCTGTAACAGCTGCAACTTCCTGTCCTGGCCACTGCTGGTGCTTCCCACACCCTCCTTAAGCTGTACAACAGTTTCATACCTAGGTTACAACCCCGTCTGCCTTTTACGACTAAGGGTCGGTCAGGGGCTTACACAATGGAGAGAATGTAGGAAGGGGGAGGGAGGAGATGGTGAGACAACAGCAGCCAGTGGTAAAAATCATGTTTGGCTACCATGGAATCAACGTAAGTTGGCAGGAAGGAACCTAATGGTTTGTGTACCTAAACAAAAAACCAGTGGGGTGTCTAGATACTTTCAAAAAGAAAACAAAAAAAAAAATTGTTGGAATTATTTGCACCCTGTAGCTGCACCAAGAACAGCAACTTGAAATATCAATTTCTAACCCTCTTTAAAATTTGTTATCCAACTACTGAAACAGTATCACTTCAAATCTCAAAACCAGTATTTCCTCTACTGGTATAGGTGATATACAGCATCATCTTAATTTCTAATATTCAACTCTAAAAAATTTCAATAGGGACTGTTTGGGATTTTTCCATTGTGAATCACATGGCGTAATTCCTGAGGTACAATAAACTATCTGTTCTAAAAGATGATTAATTTGTAATTTTGCCTTGTAGATGTTCCCTGGAAAGGAAGGTATTTTCACACTTGTGACCCTCTATGAATATAATAAATGAAACAAGCATCATGTACTACTGATTGACTTCAGATTAACTAGGAGGATGACAGCAAATTTAGACACTTGAGTCACTAGTTTTTAAGTGCCAAAATTATCACAAAAGTATAGCAAGAGCATGTAGGAAGTCAATGGTGTGTGAAGCTCCAGTAGATACTATCTGTGAACTTTCAACTTGCCCATCAGCTTTGCTGTAACTTCTTCACAACAAGAAAAGGATGCCTTGCATTATAGAACTGGAGACCTTGAGAGCAGCTCTTTAAAAATTAAGAGATTAAAATAATGAAAACACTTTGTTTGACCTTTTCAGATACACTTATGATTCAAAAGATAAAAACAGACCATCACTGGACTTCATATGTAAGTGTTCAAAAGTATGAACTTTTAATACATCTCTCCACCCTTGTGATAACAAGACATTTTGACACTTGTATATAAAGGCATAAATATAGAACTTAACAGCTAACGTGGTTTAGGGATTCCTGGTTTCACAAAACTTACAGATTTGTGAAAGAAAACGTAAGCACCAATTCCCACCACACTGAACAAGCCAAGATTTTTTTCCTAGATTGTAACCACTTTGGAGCAAAGACAAAACTACCAGATACAGATTTAATTTACTACAGTCCTGCTAAGGATGCAATAGCTGCCAACTAGGAAAACCTTTGTGGACTTGCTGACTAACATAAGTGCACAACATACTCCACCTACATGCTAGATCATTGCAGTAAACTATCCTGTCAAAGCCTCCTAACTCCAACAAGTAACTATGTAAAAGTGCACCATTGAAATTCACTTTCTGTTTCCATTGCTTTCCTAATTCATCTTTCCACTCAAGACACTGGGGATCTTTCACCTCTCATTCCAGTAGGTTTCTCTGTACAAAAAACATTTACATCCAAGAAGCTAAGCAAGTTGCTTGTCTTGCCAAGTCTAACTGTCACTTCATCTTCACCTTAATATAAAAGTGGAAAAATAGGATGTACAAAGAGAACTGTGACAAAACTGCTGAAACAGTTCAGTGTTTCAGTCTCTCTCCCTCCATATTTGAAGCTGCAACTGTGCGCCAAAAGAACTA